GTTTTGTTTTTTTTTTTTTTCATTTTAACAAATGTTGGATGAGAAAGTTGTATGAGAGATGTGGTGTGTAGTTTGTTTTTGTTTTTTTTTTTTAAAAAAAAGTAAAAGATAAATAAAAAAATTTTTTAATTGTAGATGGTTGGTGCGTAAAATCTTGGTTTTTTTTTTTTTTTTTTTTTTTGGGGGGGGGGGGGACGTGATAGCCGTCGTCATTCTACTACGAGTTTTAGAGGGAATGTTGTTGTGACGAAAACAAGTTATCAAATGTTAGAATATAAGTTTGATTATTTCGGTCAGGAGAGGGCTTAAACTCCTTCAATAAGTAAGAGTGCTAACTTTTCTGGTGAATCAAAAGTACAATGGAGCTTTCCGGGTGTCTATTTTTCTTTTTGAGAAGAGCGAAAGTCGTACTCCTAGTAGACAGAAGTTCTACTTTTTGCATCAAAATCTGTCAATGTTGCGCGTTTTAATTACCGACCCAAGGCAAACTTGTTTTGCAGCAAGTGACGTAACTCCTGTGTATGGCGTAACTCCCGCGTAATTTTATCCAATCAGGAGTCAGTATTTACGCAACTTGCAACACTGAATCATATTTGCTACAAGACAGGTTTGATTTATAGGCAATAAATCGCGTAGCATCGCTTTCGGACTCGTTCTGCAGCAATTTGTTGTGAATTGCCCGTTTTACTGTACCTTTAGCCCCGTTTTTAAAGCGAGAGTTTTTGGAACTCGGAAATGGGCTATTATAGCCTGTGATCATGCCCTCCCTATAAAAAAAACCGCCTGATCGCGGGTTAAGATAATTAAAAGACAATGAATCATGAGAAACTATTGTTTTACACTCTTTCCTTGTTTCTGTTTTGGGGTTTTTGATCATGGTTTGTATTTTGAAATTCTTTTTCAGTTTTGTGGTTCAGTTTTGTATTTTTTTGTACGTGTTTCCGCTTTGAGATGTTTATTTCTGTTTTGGGATTTGTATTTCTGTTTTCTGGTAGTGTTGTTCTGTTTTGGGTTTGCTGTATCCTGTTTTTGCATTGACGGCACCCTAAGAAAGAGAAACAGTCTTTGCATTGTGTTTTCGTTTATTATTTGTAGCAAGTGGAGCAAAAAATTACCTTGCAAGGATTGGCATCCACTTTTATGCTTGGTGCACTAAAAATAGCACCCGCAAAGAAATAAGGTCTTTCCATAACACTGAGAACAGCTATTGTACCACCCTAAAAAGAATAATGCATAATATTACATGTAATAATATCATAACATGCAATTTTCAAGGTGCAGTTAAACCACTGTAAAGGCTAAGACTTTATGGTCACTTACAGAAGGTGGTCGCTTACGACACTTCCTTGGAGTAGATTTCCGGGCACATCTACTTTAAAGTAGATAATTTACTACACCGATTTCTTTCTCAGTTACATGTTGTTACTTAAGTTCTTCGTATACTCCTAGTAGCATACAGCGAACATAAGAGTTCAGACAAATCGTTAAGGGGTCGCTTTTTAGGAGGTTAAAAACAATGGGAAATCTCTTTAACGCGGTCGCTTAAGGATGGTGATCTTTTACGAGAGGTAGTTGTTTACGAGAGGTGGTCGCATATGGAGGTTCGACTGTATCAGTGTTTTCGTAATATGTGATTTAACTGCATTGAAGCCAGACTTGAAAAGAGTTAAAAATAAGAAAACCTGAAATTCACAGGCTATCTATGTTATCAAAACAAACCGGCAGGAGCGCGACATTAACCCACGAAAATGAAAGGATTTCAATAAAAAGCGGCTTACCTTACTCACAATGTATGTAACGTCTTTCCTGTGTGGTGTGCTGGTCGATTTATGGGCTTTTCATGGGCTTTAGTGTAACCAGTTGAGAGAGAAATTAAAGTGGCACTCGGAAAAAATTATGTTGTTAGTAAAGTCGCGCGTCTTAAAATATGTCATTGGTTCTTAATGGTTAGTATGCTACGCCAAAAGTGACAAAATATCGAAGATGCAACTTTATAATTCAAATCCACCAATTCACTATCAAGATCGATAAAATTAACATCAATTTGTTTGTTGAATGTGTCAAGATTGTAGAATTTAAGCTAATTTAATTTCAATTCCCACGTGTTTCATGTGATGTATCAAGAAACACGTTTTCTAAATCAAGATGCATGTTTTTTTAAATCAAGAAGGGAGACGACAATTTTTGATCAGTTTTGTTTCCGAGAGGGACTGAAACCGAGCACACAGGTTGGAATTCAAAGTTTAAAAGTGTTGACGGGCCTGCACGACTCCTGCAGCTCGAAAATAGATTGGTCTTAAAACCTTTATAGTTTTAGGGATTTTCCTTTGCGATATGAAATAAGGGGAGGTTCCTTAAAGATGTTTCTGAGATATGGTTGGTTCTGTATAAGGTGCCATTTCCCCATGGGTATGTTCTTGAGGTTGGGCAACGCAGGGTGGTATTGCGTTACAAAGGGTAGTATTTTCTTACTTGCATTTTTGTTTCCCTGTTCTAGTGCTTTCTTTCTTTATGAGCTTTAACAGTTCTAAATATCTGACTAACCTACGTTACCCCAGAGAATTGTTTCTTTTAAGATAATGTCGTCCTATATGCACGTGCATATGCGTGCGTGACTGTTACTAATGAAAAGACAAAAGGCAAATTCCCTTGAGAACATCACGTGGTCTTATTTGGGAAAACAAAACATACAAGCTAAAGGTCTATTTCTCCGGGGGAGGGACTCCGCATGTGAAAGGGGTGGGGATGCTCTTCGTCTCGCTTAGCGGAGTAAATTTCGGATTTTGGTCTCACTTAGGGTGTTCTGGGCAAAACGCCATCATATTTAGCCGTGAAGGTCTCGTTTAGGGTTGCACGTGAAAAAATATATAAATACGTGTATTGTCTGTGTTTTAACATGGTCTCTTTTTGGGGTCAAAAAAACAGCTTAGGCTACGCCCAGATCAGTCTCTTTTAGGGGTTTAATTCAAAATTTCCGACGAGCATCCCCACCCCTTTCATATGCGGAGTCCCCCCGGGTCTATTTCACCTAGCTTCTTAAACAGGGTTGCAATTTTAATGCATTTTGCCTTAAAGAGGGTCAGAATCGAAGGGTTTCAGCAGCACAGCCCCAACCAAACTTCCTTTAAATCCCCACCCCTTGAAGAAGTTTCTTCCCTTATGCATAACGATAACTAGGCAATCCCGGCTTTGCCAGTTTTTTTTGAGTTAAAAACCGTAACACGTACCACACATTGTAAGTATGGTAAGCCACTACAGTGCAACCTCTATTCAGGGGACACCCTAGGGACCATGGTGAGGGTCCCTTGCAACCTCGTCCCCAGGGCGCTTTTCCCTGGCTTTGGAGGTGCCAGGGAAAAGCGCCCTGGGGATGAGG